CGCTTTCACACCGGACGCGAAACAAATTTTTAGCACGACAGATTACATTCAAAGTCAATGCTAAGACGCGATTCGCATGTATTAGCGTCTTTGCATTGACTTTGAATGCAATCTGTCGCGCAAAAAATTCGTTTCGCGTCCGGTGTGAAAGCAGCTTTAGGTAGCAGTGCATCTGATTTCAACGACAGGAAAAAATGCATTTGAACGTGAGACGGAAGTTCGAACCGTCGATCCAAGATGATTTAATCTCAAGTTTACCTTCAAAACGACAGACTTGCTAATTCACAAAATATATTGAATAAATGTTTCTCCAAGATAAAAAGGCTTCAACTCAGAATCAGGGCTGGCAAAGTTGGGAACTACAGACTTTGCTGTGTTAGTGATATTTCCACAATAAACATACGAAAAAGTGAAAGAGTCCGTGACATGGGAGATTTCAAAATGAAGCATCGACACAAATTGTAAGAAATCTCCCTGCAAGTCAATTGAAGATGAGGGGGCGCATTTGATTGGGGTTTTTGAAGAGGAATACGGACACCTAGCAACGTACGGGACTAAACGAACTAAGGTTGGGCCAAAGCCCATGGAGAAAAGAGAGAGTGCACACTGTGCAGGTGTGTGTGTGTTCCTTTGGAAGTGAGATCAGAGTTAGAGATCAGTGTGTGTGCGTAAGGCATAACGTTACTGAGCAAACTAAAGGACCTTCTGTGATACCCCTTCATACACAATGCGATGCATAAGTATTTGGGCAGCGACACAGTACACAAAGGGCTGCAATTCATAAATGGGTCACTGACGTATATAAAATAATGCTGGGTTCATTGCTGCATTCATTCAAAACTCACTGATATTTGGAGTTTCGAAGTCCAGCGTGCTGAAGTAGAAAAAACAATAACGCATCACCGTCCAAATACTTATGGACCACAATGTGTGTCTTATGAGAAGGGCATGAAGAATATCCCCCCAATGTTTTTACAATGTTCCCGAACGATTCCTAAACGGCTCTTTTCCACGCCCCTGGCCACGGCGCCATCATTGTTGGGTTGTGGGGTGGTAATGTCCGTGTGCCACTGAGTGAGGGCGGGGCAGTGAATTCAGAGAGACAGAGAGCCACAGCCAATCAGGAGAAGGGTGACCATACCCAGGGACTCGGCACCATACACTGCCCCCACTGAGAGAGAGAGAGAGAGAGAGAGAGAGAGAAGCGCAGAGAAGAGGGAGGGGGTGAGAGACAGAGTTAGAACGGAAAATAGAGAGAGGAAGTACTGAATTAAACACTACGCAATCACTGCTGAAACAGTTTGCACTCAACCGGTACAAGACTTTTCAAAACTGAGATGTGCTGAAAATGTGACCATAGCTAACCTGAAATGGTTAACTGCAAGGAAAGGCTACTGCGATAGAAAACATCGCACAAAAGTCGACAGACATACGAAAGAAATGGAAGCAATGAAAGAGGCTCATTGCCGCCCTGGCTAAAGCAGTATTACTCAGACTTCGCTGATCACTGTCCTCCTGAAATGGCCGATATAATACAAGCGCTCAGCACTGTCATGATTTCAGGCGAATTTTAACGACGAAGTGTCTTCCCAATGGGCGGCCATTTTCATTCACCGTGCGCAACGATTGCTGTTCGTTAGCTAAGACAAGCTCACATTTCTGGCAAAAATGTAAACAAGTTTGTATATGTTTGCAAACTATCTGTAATTTTGGCTATCTTGCTGTCTCGAGTGCACGGCCGGTAGGATAGCAAAAATTTAAAGCTTTTCAAAATAAAGCTTTGAAACGCCTCACCTAAAACTCGAATCCGGGTGATGGGCCCGTCCCCCCCTTCGGCTCGCGCCCGGATCTCCATGAAGTAATCGCCCTCGGAGGGTATGGGCGCGAACATATAGTGTTTGCCCGTCAGGATCAACTCTCCACTGAAAAGGCCCTCCCTCTTAGTCATGACCTGAGATCAACAAGTACGGAATTACTCAACAGTGGAAAAAACAGAAAAAATTATGCTAACCCTGAATGAGTTCGGCTGCATTATATTTTTGTCTGTGGAACGAGGACCAAAAGCTCACTCAGTTTCATCTTCTTGTTCTTCCGGGTGTGGACACTAACTTTGAAGTGCTTTTCCTCCGTTATCACTTAACATATCATCATGAAACTTGACAAGCGTATTCTCCATGTCAGCGCACAGGCATTAACTCAGCCAGATTTCGCAAAAAGAGCAAAGGGGCCTGACAACCAGACTACAGACCCAAATGGAGAAAAATGTTTTTTTGTCAAAAACATTAAGTTGCAAACTATGTACGGTTGAGTGATTCCAAATTCAGGAGAGATGGGGGGGAGAAGTCATCAATGAAATTTAGGAATAGAGTAACTAAACCTTACAGAAACCAGGCCTACCTCGTATCCCATAATCCTGGACTCATTGTACATGGGTTCCACGTGGTTCCAGGAGATATAAATCTACGTTTTGGCGAGGTTGTAGATTCTGCTGATTACTTTTGGGCGGCGGTCTGGAGCTGAAAAGAAACAGAGTGAATGTGGGATATCGCCGAAGAAATTCTGGCAGTATCAGTGTCGACTGTAATTTTAATTACGGTAATGCAATGAAAATACAGAAATCACGGTGCTGTGTGAACACGCTGAATGTAGGTACTGTATATAATGAGCTGTAATATGAGTAATTCGATCTAAGTTTTACTTAGACTAAGTATTGAATTGAATACCGGCCCTGGACCTTAGCTCTGCTTTTGACACAATTGCACATAGCATCCTCTTACACAGACTGAGGCACTGGGGGGGATATCAGGTAGAGTTCTACAATGGTTTTCATCTTACCTATCAAATAGGAAGTTCTGTGTCTCAGTAAACAATTATGTTTCCTCACTTGCTCGCATCAAATACAGTGTCCCTCAAGGGTCAGTTTTGGGGCCCATTCTCTTTTCGCTATATATGCTTCCTTTTGGGCACATTATACATAGAAGCGGCGTGTCTTATTATTTTTATGCGGATGATTCACAGATGTACCTGCCCGTGAGATCCTCAGACCCCAATATGCTTAATTCTCTTAATGATTGCTTGTCTGAAGTAATGACTCAGATGTCACAAAACTTTCTCCAGCTAAACTCAAATAAAACAGAGATAGTGTTGATTGGGCCCAAGAAAATGACAAAGCAAATCCCCTCACCTGCTTGTCTATTTCCATGATGCTTTGCACATACATTCTCAGGACACTTACTGCCGTCTCTGTGAATGACATTGTGAAACCTAAAGTCTGTCCTATCAACGCTATTTCACATGGCCTGGGGATAAAACAAGTGCTTTTTTTCACAAGCTGAGCATTGAGCACTGATATTTCTCCAGGCTAAAAGTGGTTTCCAACATACAGCTCAGCCATTAATGCCATTCTTGCCCAGTCGCTTTCGGTTTTCTTTCTTGCCCAGCACTACGTTATTCTGTTCGTGCAGCCCGCAGTGCATTCGCCTTTTTTGTGTAGCTGACTTTTTTTGTTCCCGGGGCAAGCAAAGGACTCGAGTCATCTTGTTTTTTGCACAAGAGAAAGTAAAAACAGCACTCGATTTCTGGGACCATCGAGAGAAGGCCATCCAACTGCCGAAACCAGGGAGTGAACCAGGTACCTTTAGATCTTCAGTCTGACGCTCTCCCAACTGAGTTTTTTTGGCAAAGCTATTTCGATTCATCTGATACCTCCAAACGGTAGAAATCTGTGCGAAGGCAGCATTTTCTCCAAAAACCGTCTTCTCTGAGAAAATTGCAAGCTATTTTGACCAGTTTGCTTACCTGCAAATGGTAAAATCATTTATCCTCCAGCAAACCATCAAGAGTGTCCCCCTGAGATTCAGTTATCGCATGGCTCATACCAAGTGAGTGAACTACCACAGCTGCCGCATGAAAAGCTCAAACAGTGCCCTCACGGCAGTTTCTCATTTGGTACCATTTCATGGTCAAGATGGAGCCATGATTTATTTCCATCCCACAAAACACAGTGCGGTGGTTTTGTCTATTTCAATGATGCTTTGCACTTTTTTATTACTCCCATAGCTAAATAAAGTTTTGCTCTCCCTCGTGACTTGTCCCAACGTAGGCTTGCAAGTTTAGTTTAAATACATATGGCATCAAAGACCTTGAGTCATTCGTCCTACGCTTTCAACATCCAGCTTGCATCGTCTGAGATAAAATCATTCACAATGCTGAATTTGAGCTGAAGTTTCTGTTGGCACTGCTTAATCCTGTCCTCGAAAGATGAATGCAGAAACTTGCAATGTAATGTTGGCGCAACCATGTTCCACCCCAAACATTTTGTGTATTCTCCTTGTCGTTGGCTGTCATATCAAGCATCTGTCCATGCTTTGAGGGTAAAAATGATGGAGAAGCCCTGACCAAATACAAAAGTGAAAGAATAAAAATTGTGCAAGGACTCAGAGATCAATCAGAATTTTCACTCGAAATTGAGGAAATTCATCTGTAATATTTCCCTCAAATAAACAAGGGGAATTAGCTCAAATGGTAGAGCGCTTGCTTAGCATCCGAGAGGTAGCAGGATTGATGCCCGCATTCTCCAGCTTTGCCACTTGTGACCTCACAAGCGTGCTCCTACATTCACTGCCGAGGCGAAGTCAATTGTTCAATACTGTGCGTGTTTCTGAGCAGAAGAGACTCTTCGCTGCCTTTATCTCAGAGGATAGCTCTGACATGTATTCCCTCTGACCCCTACTGCTGGAGCACTGAAGCCCGCCAAGACCCCTGGCATGAACAGCAAGCAATGTCTTAATTTTACTTTGAAGTTCAAGTCAACTAACACTTTGCATCATTAGTCTTGCTTGTCCCAGAAGTAGTGAAAGCAAGGACAGCTGCAGGGTCATTGCTGAAATTAAGATAAGGTTCAATTGCCATTGTTTTACAAGACCTGCAAAATGTCATTGCAGACAATTGGAATGGCGTTCTACAGCACATACATTTTCAGGCCATTCACTGCCGTTTCCTCCTTGTTGGTATAGTGGTGAGTATCCCCACCTGTCATGCGGTAAACCGGGGTTTCATTCCCCGACGGGGTGCTGAAGGTTTTTTTTTCCCAGTCAATGTCAAAACAAAGAACAAAAGCTGACTCATTTTCGCTGTGACTGACTTTGTGAAACCTAAAGTCTGCCCTTTCAACGCTATTTTACGTGGCCTGGGGATAAAACAAGTGCTTTTTTCACAAGCTGAGCATTGAGCACTGATATTTCTCCAGGCTAAAAGTGGTTTACAACATGCAGCTCTGCCATGAATGCCATTCTTGCCCAGTCGCTTTCACTTTTCTTTCTTGCCCAGCACTACATCATTCTGTTCGTGCAGCCCGCAGTGCATTCGCCTTTCTTGCGCTGCTGACTTTTTTTGTTCACGGAGCTGCAAAGGACTCGAGTCATCTTGTTTTTTGCACAAGAGAAAGTAAAAAAAGCACTCGATTTCTGGGACCATCGAGAGAAGGCTATCAAAGTGCCAAAAACCAAGATTGAACCAGGAACCTTTAAATATTCAGTCTGACGCTCTCCCAACTGAGCTATTTCGGCAAAGTTATTTCAAGTCATCTGATACCTCCAAATGGTGGAAATCTGAGCAAAGACAGCATTTTTTCCAAAAACCGTCTTCTCTGAGAAAATTGCAGGCTATTTTGAGCAGTTTGCTTACCTGCAAATGGTAAAATCATTTATCCTCCAGCAAACCATCAAGAGTGTCCCCCTGAGATTCAGTTATCGCATGGCTCATACCAAGTGAGTGAGCGACCACAGCTGCCGCATGAAAAGCTCAAACAGTGCCCACACAGCAGTTTCTCATTTGGCATCATTTCATGGTCAAGATGGAGCCTAGATGTATGTCCATCCCACAAAACACAGTGCAGTGGTCTTGTCTATTTCCATGATGCTTTGTACTTTTTTTATCACTCCCATAGCTTCATAAAGTTTTGCTCTCCCTCGTTAATTGTCCCAACGTATGCTTGCAAGTTTAATTTATATACATTTGGCATCAAAGACCTTGAGTCATTCGTCATACGCTTTCAATTGGACAAGGACTCAGAGATCAATCAGAATTTTCATTTGAAATTGAGGAAATTCATTTTTAAATTTTCCTGCAAATAATGGCGGGGAATTAACTCTAATGGTAGAGTGCTCGCTTAGCATGCAAGAGGCAGGGGGAACGATGCCAGCATTCTCCAGCCCTGGCCCCTGTGCCCCCCCAGGCATGCACCTGCACTCACTGCCGAGGTGCACTAGGACGCAGGGTCAATTGCGCAATATTGTGTCTGTTTCTGAGCAGAAAAGATTCTTCGCTGCCTCTATCTCAGAGGATTGCTCTGACTTGTATTCCTTCTGACCCCCACAGCTGCAGCACTGAAGCCTGCCATTGACGGCAATGATGAACAGCAAGCAATGTCTCAATTTTAAGTCAAAGTCAACTAACACTATGCATCATTAGTTCTGCTTGTCCCAGGAGGATTGAAAGCAGGGACAGCTGCAGGGCCATTGCTGAAATTAAAATAAGGTTAAATTGCCATTGTTTTACAAGACCTGCAAAATGTCATTGCTGACATTTGGAATGGCGTGCAACAGCACATACATTTTCAGGATACTGCCGTCTCTTCCTCGTTGGTATAGTGGCGAGTATCCCCACCTGTCACGCGGGAGACCGGCCGCCGATTCATCGATGGGGAGCGAGAGGTTTTTTCTCAGTCACTGTCAAAAGAAAGAACAAAAGCTGACTCATTTTGGCTGTGAATGACATTGTGAAACCTAAAGTCTGTCCTTTCAACACTATTACACATGGCCTGGGGATAAAACAAGTGCTTTTTTCACAAGCTGAGCATTGAGCACTGATATTTCTCCAGGATAAAAGTGGTTTCCAACATGCAGCTCTGGCATGAATACCATTCTTGCCCAGTTGCTTTTGCTTTTTTTCTTGCCAAGCACTACATTATTCTGTTCGTGTAGCCTACAGTGCATTCGCCTTTCTTGTGCAGCTGACTTTTTTTTTTTTTGTTCCGCAGGGGCAAGCAAAGGACTCAAGGAATCATCTTGTTTTTGCACAAGAAAATTGACAGCAATGATGAACAGCAAGCAATGTCTCAATTTTAAGTCCGTCCTTCAACACTATACGTAGTTCTGCTTGTCCCAGGAGGATTGAAAGCAAGGACAGCTGCAGGGCCATTGCTGAAATTCAATATAAGGTTAAATTGCCATTGTCTTAAAAGACCTGCAAAATGTCATTGCTGACATTTGGAATGGCGTGCAACAGCACATACATTTTCAGAATACTCACTGTCGTCTCTTCCTCGTTGGTATAATGGCGGTATCCCACACCTGTCCTTGAGACGGTGTTAGATTCCTGACAGGGAGCTAGAGGATTTTCTCAGTCACTGTCCAAAAGAAACATAAAAGCTGACTCATTTTGGCTGTAAATGACATTGTGAGAGCCTAAGATCTGTCCTTTCAACACTATTACATGGCCTGGGGATAAAACAGTACTTTTTCATAAGCTGAGCATTGAGCACTGATATTTCTCCAGTCTAAAAGTGGTTTCCAACATGCAGCTCTGGCATGAATACCATTCTTGCCCAGTTGCTTTCGCTTTTTTTTCTTGCCAAGCACCACATTATTCTGTTCGTGCAGCCCACAGTGCATTCGGCTTTCTTGTGCAGCTGACTTTTTTTGTTCACGGGGCAAGCAAAGGACTCGAGTCATCTTGTTTTTTGCACAAGAGAAAGTAAAAACAGCACTCTATTTCTGGGACCATCGAGAGAAGGACATCAAACTGCCAAAACCCAGGATTGAACCAGGGACCTTTTGATCTTCAGTCTAGCTTTCCCAAGTGAACTATTTGATGCTTCTAAATTCATCTGAAAATGCCTCAAAGCGGTAGAAATCTGTGCGAAGACAGTATTTTCTCCAAAAACTGTCTTCTCTGAGAAAATTGCAGGCTATTTTCAACAGTTTGCTTACCTGCAAATGGTAAAATCATTTATCCTCCAGCAAACCATCAAGAGTGTCCCCCTGAGATTCAGTTATCGCATGGCTCATACCACGTAAGTGAGCTACCACAGCTGCCGCATGAAAAGCTCAAACAGTGCCCTCACAGCAATTTCTCATTTGGCATCATTTCATGGTCAAGATGGAGCCTAGATTTATGTCCATCCCACAAAACACAGTGCGGTGGTCTTGTCTATTTCCATGATGCTTTGTACTTTTTTATTACTCCCATAGCTAAATAAAGTTTTGCTTTCCCTAGTTAATTGTCCCAACGTATGCTTGCAAGTTTAATTTATATACAATTGGCATCAAAGACCTTGAGTCATTCGTCATACGCTTTCAATTGGACAAGGACTCGAGATCAATCAAATTTTCATTTTGAAATTGAGGAAATTCATTTTAAATTTTTTCCCTCTGCGAATAATGAGAGTGCTCTAATGGTAGAGTGCTCGCTTAGCATGCAAGAGGCAGGGGGACCGATGCCCGCATTCTCCAGCCCTGGCCCCTGTGCCCCCCCAGGCATGCACCTGCACTCACTGCCGAGGTGCACTAGGACGCAGGGTCAATTGCGCAATATTGTGTCTGTTTCTGAGCAGAAAAGATTCTTCGCTGCCTCTATCTCAGAGGATTGCTCTGACTTGTATTCCTTCTGACCCCCACAGCTAGACACTGAAGCCTGCCATTGGCGGCAATGATGAACAGCAAGCAATGTCTCAATTTTTAAGTCAAGTCACTTCAACACTATGCATCATTAGTTCTGCTTTGGCCTTGGGAGGATTGGCTTAAGGACTGGGGCCATTGCTGAAAATTCAAATAAGGTTAAATTGCCATTGTTTCACAAGACCTGCAAAATGTCATTGCTGACATTTGGAATGGCGTGCAACAGCACATACATTTTCAGGATACTGCCGTCTCTTCCTCGTTGGTACAGTGGCGAGTATCCCCACCTGTCACGCGGGAGACCGGCCGCCGATTCATCGATGGGGAGCGAGAGGTTTTTTTCTCAGTCACTGTCAAAAGAAAGAACAAAAGCTGACTCATTTTGGCTGTGAGCTGACATTGTGAAACCTAAAGTCTGTCCTTTCCAGCATTACACATGGCCTGGGGATAAAACAAGTGCTTTTTTTTCACAAGCTGAGCATTGAGCACTGATGTTTCTCCAGGCTAAAGCCTTCCAACATATTAAAATGCAGCATGAATACCATTCTTAGCAGTTGCTTTTGCCTTTCTTGCTGACACCACATTATTCTGTTCATGCAGCCCACAGTGCATTCACCTTTCTTGTGCAGCTGACTTTTTTTTTGTTCTGAGGCAGCAAAGGACTCAAGGTCATCTTTTTGTTTTTTGCTCAAGAAAAGTAAAAGCATTATAGATTTCTGGAAGCCATCGAGGAAAGGTATCATACTGCCGCCGAGGATTGAACCAGGGGCGTTTGAATCTTTAGTCCTACTTGGCCTTCCAACCTGAGCTATTTTGACAAAGCTGGCAGAAGTCATCTGTTGCCTCCAAATGGTAGAAATCTGTGGGAAGACATCTGTGGGGAGAAAATTTCAGGCTATTTTGAGCAGTTTGCTCACCTGCAAATGTTAAAATCATTCATCCTCCGGCAAAAGAGTGCCCCCCTGACATTCATTTATCGCATGACTCATGCCACGTAAGTGAGCGACCACAGCTGCTGCATGAAAAGCTCAAACAGTGCCCTCACGGCAGTTTCTCATTTGGTACCATTTCATGGTCAAGATGGAGCAAGTTGTTTCCATCCCACAAAACACAGTGCGGTGGTCTTGTCTATTTCCATGATGCTTTGCACTTTTTTATTACTCCCATAGCTAAATAAAGTTTTGCTCTCCCTCGTTAATTGTCCCAACATAGGCTTGCAAGTTTAATTTATATACATTTGGCATCAAAGACCTTGAGTCATTCGTCCTACGCTTTCAACATCCAGCTTGCATCCTCCAAGATAAAATTGTTCACAATGCTGAATTTGAGCTGAAGTTTCTCTCCGAAGAAGATGAATGCAGAAATCTTGCAATACTAATGTTAGGCATAACCATATTTCCACCCAAACATTTTATTGTATTCTCGCGCTTGTCGTTGGCTGTCATATCAAGCATCTGTCCATGCTTCGAGGATAAAAATAGCCAAGCCCTGTCCAAATACAAAAGTGAAAGAATAAAAATTGGACAAGGACTCAGAGATCAATCAGAATTTTCACTCGTTATTGAGGAAATTCTTCTGTAAAATTTTCCTGCAAACCAAGGTGGGGAATTAGCTCAAATGGTATAAGCGGCTAAGCTTAGCATCACGAGAGAGAGTAGAGGATCGATACCTGCATTCTCCAGCCTTGACCCTGTGCCCTACAGGCTTCACACACCACTCGCTGAGGCGGATAGGACGCTGAGTTAATTGTGCAATACTGTGCGTGTTTCTGTGCAGAAGAGACTTTTTGCTGCCTTTATCTCAGAGGATAGCTCTGACAAGAGAAAGTAAAAAGAGCACCTGATTTGCCGAAACCCGGGATTGAATCAGGGACCTTTAGATCTTCAGTG